CAAATATTCTCATAGGGAGATAATCACATACCTCCTATGCGCCATGTGTTTGTCTTTGCCCTTTAAGGCGGCTAAATTTTGTGCTTCAGCTTGTTTAATAAGGAAGGACACGGTTGCAACTGTTTTAGTCATTATGTGAGTTACATGGAATTTAGTTTATCATAAGGCTATATATTTTTTCTTACTCTATGTACATTTTCATTTGTATGTGTTGCTGACTCCAATGATTATATTATTGCTGGCTGATCTATGACCATAATAAAATTAAGTAAGTTCCAATGAGCTTATATATTAGTCACATCCCATACCTTGTTCAGCCACTGCAGTTTGGTAAAACAGTGTTGCAGTGAGGTTATTTCAGATTCAGGGCTTCATGTTCTAAAATGTCCTAATAACATCTACTTCAGATGCAAAACTACAGCTTCCTTCTGGGCCCTTCCTGCTGGCCCAGTGAGCCATGCTCCAAACTCCTCCCCAAAGTCCAGTCTCAATGGCGCCACTGAGCATAAAAGAGGAACTTCCCATTTCTGGTGACACAAAGTTTTGCCATGATGTACAATTATTTAGCAGCTTTTTGTCAGGGAAACCAGAGTGCCGTGTCCAAAACAGTCAGTAAGCATGCCTTTGGGGTGACAATCTGGTACCAAATAGTTCAGGGCAAAACCCCACAAGTCCTCACCCTTGTTGAACAGCTCGACACTTTCCTCACAAGCAGAATAATATTTCAATTTGTCCACAGTTTTTATACAGTTTGGATAGATTAAGTGCTGCTTAACCGGACTGACGTGCCATCTTGTTAAGGGCTTTAACTTGGAAGGCCGTAACATTTGTGCCAACGGAGGAAGCAGTGAATGAGGTCTCGAAACCTTGCCAAATTTGTTCATTTAATATTTCTTCTAGGTTCCTTTCCCAATATTAGAAGACGTCTCCTTCAAAAATGAGGAAAGCATGACCGGGTAGACAGTAATAGTAAGGTCACTGGAGGATAAGGCTACGTGTTGCAAATATGATTGGAAAATATTGATTAGTATCCCACATACTGTTTAATGCAGTTTATTGCAGAAGCGGCACTTTGGCATCTACTGCTGCGTAGGAAGTGATGATGGCTCCACTTTCTTTTCTCACGGAAAAAGGAGTTTCAGCAGCCAGAAAGTCTATCACATGATGCACTGCTGTTTATACGGAGGAAATCTCCTTAGTATTCGTCCAAGTATCAAATTTTGGAGGGTGCTCAATAGGCATCCAATGAAACAGGCCAAGATCCAGCTTTTTTTTTCTTCTCCAGTGGTTCCAAGTGAGTTGAGTGCCTTTAATGAGGAGGTGTATTTAGGAATATCCATATGAAAAGTCCAGATCAGGATATCCAGTGTTTGACAGCATGCTTTTCTGTTGGTGTCTACCGATGCTCTGAGGAGAGATGCAAGCATCTTGCTAAGAATGGCAGCTGAACTGTTGCAAAATACAAGTCCAGGTTTGGAACTGACAAACCTCCTTTCACCACAGGTCTACTGAGTTCAGAACGTTTTGACACGGTTTATTCCCATCTCAGATAAAGTCAGGAAGCAGTTTGTGATATTTTACAAGAGCTTGTGGTGACAGAGAGAGCAGAATAATTTGAAATCAAAATGGGATCCTAGAGAAGGCAATTCACATGCACTATGACTCTTCCTGAGGTTCACAAGAACAAGAGTAGTGCACACTGGTGTCTTTCAGTTATCAGAGGATTATTTTTACACACCTTTGTGGAGCCGATTGTAAAGTTGTTCATGTAGGTCAGAAAGTGAGGGCACGATAATATTCCAAAGTAAAGCCATGACTTGATAGACCAGGAGAAACTATCACTAGTATTATTTATCGGCCTCGGTCACATGGGCTGGATATCGCGGGGGGAGGCGTGGCTGTTTGCCCCAGAGCGAACTACCGCGTGGCAGCGGGATCAAACGTCCCGCTGATGTCCCGTGGTTGGGGGGAGGTGCCGGGGAGGTGTCGATCATACGTCACTCCTGCAGTGTGGCAAAGAAGCTGATCGGCGGGGTCGGTTTTTTTAAAACCCAAGAGTTCGCATGCTCCGTTGGGGGCTTGTGCTCCGTTGGGTGCTTGTGCGCATCCGTGGAGACTTGGGGGTGGGGAACCTTTTCACGATAGGACATGGGTGGGCGCCAGATGCCACCGGAAACGTGATCAGACGCCCGCCCTTGCCCCGCGGTTTCCGGAAACTAGTACCTCAGAGGTACTAGTTTTTTACCCCGCATCTTCGGCGGGAAGCCTCGGGTAAGCCATGGGAGCTCTACGCTTCCCAGATGTGGTGCTGTGATCGCGCCCGGAAAATCCGCCTATCTTCCGTCTCTGTAGCGTGGCTAATGCTCCGTGTGACCGCAGCCATAGTTATAAAGTTTTCAAGGAAAACTTCAAAATGGCTGACACAAGAAATATATGAATGAGGAAAGGAAATAAAAGTGGATTTATTATCCCTCCCTCCCTCCCCTGCTGGCCACTGATGGAGCCCAAGAGAGGAAGGGCCAGGTGTCATCTGAACCAAGCAGGTCCATGGGAAGGGATAACTTCTCAGTGGGAAGGAATAAAAGACACGGATGCCATCTTCAAGAGATAGGTGTACACTTATTGCATTTGGATGATAGCTAATTTTATATCCAAGGCAATGGATTCTGAGGAAGTTGACACTAGGGATGGAGACTGTCATATCATCAGGAAAATATCACACTTTGTGTCCACGGATTCCCCATGGTTCACCTGGGTGGCTATGTATTCTTTGCATGCCAAGGGCATATATCAATGAAGAGAAGGATAACCCTGTATAGTAACTCTTCAGTAACGGAAGGGATCAGAGTAAACATTGTTTATTGATTTTAGTTCATGAGGACACTGATAATTGGCCTGAGCAGTCCTGGGAAATCGCAGGGCGAGATGCTTCTGGAGAACAGATACTGGAGGTATGGCTATTTGATGTAATCGAATGCTTTCTCAGCAAGGGCCAGAAGGTCTTCGCCTGTGCTCACCATGGCATAAAGTGTATTTTGTCCACAAGATGTCATCATGCAATTAATCCTATTTAGTCAATGTGGATTTATTGGGCAATGACGGTTTTCAGTCTGTTCATTAAGATAACTGTAGAGATCTTTATGAGTACTCATTGATGAAGGATACTGGACAGAAGGAGGCAGACATATCTGAACCCTTGCCCTGTTTCATCCGCCCACTTTTTTTTTTTACCAGCCGCACGCAGTTATGCAAAAAAATGTATGGGCATTTTGCTAAAAGGATAATTAGATGCAAATATGACTACATGTACCATCCTTGTTACATTTATTTCCTGAGTTCTTGTCAGCTATGCTGCCATGGGGGTTGGTGAGTTCATTCTGTGTCTTGGTAATGGCTCCTGCATTCCTATCTCTGCTGTTCTGCCTGTGCTGAAATGCTTATCTCTACAGATGTGCAGGAGGAGGTTGTATTGTCTGGAAGTCTCCTATGTACCGTGGGAGACTACTGCTTCCCAGCTTCTCCCACCTAACGGTTTCCTAGCTGGTCCCGCGTGCGGGAGGCTAGCTAATTGGCCCATGCCAGGGGGGGGGGGGTGCATACGAATGCCCTATATCCTATTACGCTCAATGGGTTGCCGCCATTCTTAACAGTGCCTGTGTTACCGCATTTGTAGCTTTGCAATAAAAGTATAACCGTTCCTGAATGTGTGTACTTTGTTGTAAGCTGCGGGTTCTGACAGTTCCCTGACAGGCAAAGACTGTGGCCTGCACTGAAAGTATCTCCATGCATGCAAGTATCTCCATGCATGCCAGAATGCCAGAATTTATTGTGTACATAGCCAAAGGCTGTCACAATACAGAATGTCTCCATGCATACAATACGACTTCCTTGAAGGTGCCTTCTGGACACAATTCTCATACCACTTGACAAGCTGCTCCTGTTCCCTGACTGGCAAAGACTGTGGCCTGCACTGAAAGGACAATGCAAGTATCTCCATGCAATCCAGAATGCCAGAATTTATTGTGTACGTAGCCAAAGGCTGTCACAATACAGAATGTCTCCATGCATACAATACGACTTCCTTGAAGGTGCCTTCTGGACACAATTCTCATACCACTTGACAAGCTGCTCCTGAAACTTGGAAGACCTTTGGACACAGTCTACATATAAAGAACTCTTTGCATTCTGGGCTTCAGATTCATTGACATGCTGCATACATTCTCAGGTGCTGGAATGTATCGCAAGCATGTGTGGGAGCTCTCTATCACTGCTTTATAGGGACTTGCAGTTTTCACTCCTCCTGGCTCAACCACTCAGCAAGGAAGAACTAAGACTAATAGTTCCAGCACTGCGAGTAGTAATGAAGAGCTACTGAAGCTACTCAGAAAGCTTCCTCTTGAGTTGGGAACATAGTGGAAACTTCAAGCCTGACCTTTTATTCTCCTTAGACCCCCCTGTTGCTGATTTTCTCTTCATATCACCACAAGATAAAGTTTGGGAAAGAGAAAGAGATGGAAAACCAACAGAAGGGAAGAGTGGGCAAGGTAGAAAGTTGGTGAGGAGTTCCTGACTGAGTCCAGTTTTCCCCATCCTTTCAGAGAACTCTCAGCAAAAAGCAGGACTTTTTAAAACTGAGAACTCGCTGGAAGAACTCATTAAACATGGTACACTCCCAATTGCAAAAGGGCATTTTTACCCTGAACTGCTTCTTCACTCAGTTTGTAATGAAATTTACAGATGCCTTCCCATACATTCTTCTCTACACCAACAAAATCAGACAGGCACAAACAGTGACAGGTTCCCTATATGGGTAACTCGCTTTGTACCAAAGATATGGGCCACCACAGATAAAAACCACAAGGATGAAGTGTTAATGTTTCTATCAAACACATTCTTAATCTTAATTCTCGTAACCAGACAGAGAGGGAGAGGCAATCTTCAAAGTAGCCATATATAACTAAAGAAGTATTCTCTTAAAAAAAAAAAAGAAAGCTGTGTACCTTTCTCACTGGATTCAAGGTATTCTCTGGGGAATGAATGCGGACAGTGGCTTCTTCTGATGGCTGTGACACAGGTGGAGCCACATTTCTATCAAGGGGGAGGTCTGTCTTATGGCCTTCAGGCTCAATGGAATCTTCACCAACCTGTAATAAAGGAATAAACAGCACAGACTCATTAATACCAAGAAACTTACTCTGGGAAACACGTTAGAACACGAAAGCCCCTTTGGAAGACATCCCTTTACTTTAATGAGAGATAGAAGAGAGACAGTGCAGAATTCAGCACCTCGTTTTTTTCTCTTTATCAGACTGGCCACAGTCCACTCCAAGATGTGATCTATTAATTTTAAAGACTTAAACAGCTTTGGGATAGCACTGGATCTTGACCAACTATAATTGCACTTACAACACTGTAATGCGCTTCGCATGGGGCCGCTTTTGGAAACTGCTCAGAAATGACAAGAGGTCCAGAACATGACAACCAGGTTATTGTCAGGAGCTGAATACAGGGAGCATATCACTCCAGTCCTGAAAGATCTGCACTGGCTGCACATCTGTTTCCAGGCACAATGTAAAGGGCTGATTCTGACTTATAAGCTCCTGGTTGGTTTGGGGTCAGGGTACCTGAAGGCCAGGGTATTGTCCAGCCTCCAGCCCACCAGTTAAGATCCTCTTCTCAAGCCCTGCTTGGCAGCTGACAAGCATACTGGACTTTTTCAGTGGTGGTGCCTTGCCTTTGAGACTCACCTAGAAGCTACCTTACCTGCTTTTAGGCACCAGGCCAAAACATTTATCATTACCTAAGCATTTAACTAAGGGGTTATTTTGGAGTATTTTATCATCTACTCCTAGCTCAAGGCCTAGTCTAGTAAATAGACTATTCCGTTTGGTTTATATTCTTTTATGTTCTGGTTCTTTTAATTGTCTTGTCCAGGTTTAATGGATCTGTTTTTATTTATTTAGTCACTGGGTGGGCTAGTTTTGACTAATTTTGTTACTTTATTTGTTTTAGTGAATTGTTTTATTGTACCGACTGGTTTTGTTTTATTGTTGTAAGCCACCTTGAGCAGGTCCAGAGAGGCAGCTATGCATTTCCAAAACAAATCAAGCATGCTAGATTTAGACTTCACCACTGTTGTTTCATATTTAGACATCACCCTCACCCACAGCAGTGGAAGAGAAAACACCAACCTTTAGCACTGAAGCTCAGCCATCAAGTCACAGCTTCTGAGCCTCAAACATCCAGCAATGCTGGGGATGCAAATTTCTATCAACATCCAAATGCACAACTGGCCAGCTCAGTAGAGCCTGGATTAGCACTAAGACACACATCTGTATCTTCACTGCTTGCATTGCAAATCTGTTTGTAATTGTCATTTAAAAAAAAAAAAAGGTAAAGGTTCCCTTGCTCGAAAGCCAGTCGAATCCGACTCTAGGGTTATGGTGCTCATCTCCGTTTCCAAGCCGAAGAACCAGCGCTGTCCAAAGACATTTCCATGGTCATGTGGCCAGCATGACTAGACGCCAAGGCACATGGAACGCCTTTTAATTTAATTTAATTTTTATTTATTTTAATTTTAGTTGTCGTTAAAAGGTACTTAAAATAGAAGATACTTCTTCAGTATTGTCAGTATTCTATGTAATGTTAAGTCATGCTGTAGATCATAGGCATCTAACTGACAGGAGCTGACAGCTCTAAGTGTCATAAGAGCTGGCTCTGACTGGTTCTAGCTGGGTATTGCTAGAGCTAATTAGCACTGTGTAACAGTGACTCAGCATTGGCTCTGATTGGCCAGTGGTTGTATATATTCAGTGATGTACAGAACTGTTCATTCCTTTTTGGAATGCGAGCGCAGCGGAGCATTACGTCACTCAGTGTAAAGATTTGGATGTGGCTTTGTATAATAAACTGTAAATTACTTGTACATAAGCCTGAAAGACTCCAGTCTTTATTGGATCA